TCTTCAACCGAATTACCGACCTGACCGAAGGGGAAAAAGTCCAAGCGTATACTGAGGGGCTAAAAATGGAAGTCCACCGACGGGTGATTGCCGCGAACTACAACAACTACCGCGACATGGTGTGTGCAGCAGAGAGATTCAATGCGCTGATGCAATGTGAACCCGTGACACGACGCCACATGCCGAACCGATCATTTGGCAGGAAGCGATCGGCACCACCCACAACCGCCGACCCGATGGATATCGATAAGGTCGACGCAAAGTAGCGGCCGACAAAATATGAGAAGTGCGAATTTTGCGGCGCAGCAGGACATCGACTCTTGGCGTGTTGGAAAATGAAGAAGACATGAGCGGAGCTGCATGGCAACAACAGTGCAACATCCACGATGGCGAAAAAAGGACACGATGGCGCGAATTTAAAACGCCACGACTGGCCAGCAACAGGGGAAATCGCCGAGACAAATGGAGGCTCCGCGAAACAAGACTCTGCACCGACCGGGGAACACCAGCCGAACACCCCCGAGAGTAAGAATATTCCCTCTCGAGATTTTCAAGCGTTTAAAAATTTCAGGGGAGATTTCGAGGCCAAGAAAAAGCCTTCAGACATTATTCAGGTACCTGAGAAGTTGGGCAAACCACTCCGGAGCGTTGAAAAGGGTCGTGCGTTCCAAGGAGTTAATATTCTCTCCCCGCAGCACAGTGTTAAGGCTCCCAATTGCCCACAGGTGAAGCCTACACAGCTGCAAAGGCTTAAGGGAAGGTTCTAGGCCAAGACGAAGCTGAACTGGCCCCGGATAAATCCTTCTAACCCAACTCAGTTCAAAACTGTTATGGAGTCAACAGCTTCGAGCGCTGGACCGAGGGATGATCTATTTGACGTACCCTACGATCCTATAAGCGAGACCATATACGGTTACTCGGAGCAGCAACAACCACTACTACTCGAGGTGATCTGCAATGGGCGACGCCTCTAGGCACTGGTGGACAGCGGTGCGTCTCACTCGGTGTGCGACCACGGGACATTTGAGAATATTGGAGAATCTTCGGAGTAGACCAAGTTCATGGCAACGATGGTGGACGGTACGAAACTTCCCATCCACGGCAAAGCATCACTGCAGCTGCACATAGGGGCGCTGAGGTGGAACCCGACATTGCCGATCACAAACATCAAGTGATCAGATTTCATCTTGGGGCGAGATTTCCTGAAGCGGTTCAACCCCGAGATCGACTGGGTCAACAGGAATGCGCGCCTCTAAAACAACGGGAAACGAGTGGAGCTGCGAAGCTGGACGGATACAGGGAGCATTCGTGAAACGACACTGGCACGGTTCGAACGGACGGTGAATGAGAGTAACACGGGCTACTTAGCACTGGTTATGGCAGCAGCAGAGGAGAAGCTGAGTGCGGAGCTACCTGCAGCAGTGGAGGAGGTCTTGGAGCAGTGCAAGGATGTAATGCCCGATGACCTACCTGCAGGCGTACCTCCAGCAGGCACCCACGAGCACGAGGTCGTGGAGGAACCAGGTGCGAAACCCGTCTCACGTGCACCATACCGAATGAGTCCGACCGAACTGACAGACCTGAAGAAACACATAGAGTATCTACTGGACAGACAACTGATCCGCCCATCCACCTCTCCCTACAGTGCACTAGTCCTCTTCACTCCAAAACCAGACGGCAGTTTATGAAGCCTTAGTGATAGTCATAGCCTTCAAGGCGTGGAGGTGTTACTAAGAGGGAGCCAAGACAACTGTCTATACTGACCACTGCAGTCTCAAATATTTGAAGTCACAGCAGACACTCTCACGACGACAGGTGCGGTGGGTGGACTTCCTGGAAACTCACTTCCACTACAACATCGTCTACAAGCCCGGGCTACACAACAAAGCAGACGCGTTGAGCCGCCGCGGTCATCTAGCAGGCATCCAGCTTGACGGGATGAACCCTCTGCTGAAGGGTCTATTCCAACATGGATACTCCGTGGACGCAGAGATCGCTACAGCACAGACTAAGAAGCTGCTATATTGGGAGAAAGACTTAGCTGTAAGGAAGGGCACAGAAAAGATTTGGGTACCGAATTATGCCCCGCTACGGCAGATCCTATTGGAGGAGTTTCACGACGTACCTTACGCGGGACATTTCGGGAGCAACAAGACGTTAGCAGGGATAGCAAAGTAGTACTACTGGCCCGGGATGGCAGCAGACGTGCAGCAGTCCGTCACCTCTTGCGACACGTGCAAGCGGATGAAGAGCAGCAAGCAGAAAAAAGCAAGGTTACTTCAGCCTCTACCCGTACCGGAGCAGCCATGGCAGGTCGTTAGCCTTGACTTCATCACAGGACTTCCTTCGACCTCACGGGGACATGATTCCATCTTGTGGTGATTGACAAGTTATCTAAAATGCATCACTTCATTTCGACCAACGCCACAGATACAGCTGAAGCAACTGCTCGCCTCTTCTTCGACCGCATCATCACCATTCACGGCATCCCCGTTACACTCATCTCAGACAGAGACCCCAAATTCACGAGTAAGTTCTGGAAGGAGCTCATGGGATTACTGGGGACTAAAATTGCGATGTCCTCAGCATACCACCCATAGACTGACGGACAGACCAAGCGACTCAATCAGGTGGTTGAACAATTACTGCGCACAACTTGCAAAGACGACGTCAGCCACTGGGACACACAGCTACCGACCCTAGAGTTCGCTTACAACAACGCGTCACATGCGGCCACAGGGAAAACTCCTTTCTTCCTGTGTTATGGATGGGAACCACTCACACCACAGCAGCCAACCACACCGGCACACGTCCAAGCCGCACATGACTTTGTGACCACCATGCAGCAGCTATGGGAGAAGACTCAGCGATGTCTCACCACCATTCAGAACTCCCAAAAGCAGTATGCCGATCCCCAACGACGAGATCACTCAGTAGCAATCGGAGAACAGGTGCTTCTTGACACACGCAACTTGAACCTGTCTCACCTTCCATCTAAACTCCGGCCTCGCTTCTGTGGTCCATTTCTCGTGGAGGCACAGGTGACACCAGTTACATTCCGCTTGCGCTTACCAGATACATGGAAGCTTTACAACGCTTTTCATGTCCAGCTACTGAAACCCTACAAGAACCCCAACCAACAGTTCCAGGGATGGCAGTTAACGCCACCACCAACTGTTCTCGTCCAAGATGAACCAAAGTACGAAGTAGAGCGTGTTCTCACTCATCGGCACCGCGGCGGCAAGACCCTCAAGTTCCTAATACGCTGGAAGGGATACGACCCCACTGAGGACAGTTGGGTTGCAGAAGCTGATATGGGTAATGCACGCCTTGCTCTCAAGGACTATCTTGTCAAGAAGGGTGTTTCTCACGCCACCTAGCTTTGAGGGGGGGACATGTGAGAGTACGACGGCTTCTGCTGGCTTTGCTAGCTTGCCTGGACTTTATTATGCTCTATCTAGCTTGGGATTAATTTATCATACATAGATATGCTTGATTTCCTAGGTTAGGTGCATTCCTACATTTTATTATAGTTATAGCAGCAAACCAGGTTACGTGTACCGAACTCAAGCCAGTACACGTAACCCAAACCAAAGCTAGTAATAGCATAATAAAGTCCAGGCAAGCTAGCGAAGCCAGCATTAGCCGTCGTACTCTCACAAAGCGGATGCACGGGGTGGGCCGCCACTCAGACTACCCCGACATTGTACCGCTACATATGTCTGCAGCGCGCGAATGGGGTGGCAATCACGGTGAAAGACACGCAGAAGTGGAGCCACGAGTGGATGAAGAAGCACCACCCCGGGAAGAACCGGAACGCGAGCTCACACTGGAGCCAACGGTTCCGTGACCACTGGAACTTGGTCATGATTGTAAAGACCAACGTCGGCCAAGTGTTCTCGGCTAGTGAGTGGTTAAGGAAGTGAATCCGCGCTTTATTCTTGATTGTATGTGCCTAGAACTCTTATCACCTCTCTTGTTTCTACCGATCCTCTCTTGCTGTGCGGTGATTTTCCTGTGGAATGTGCGCTAAGGACCGCGAGTCGTTTTGGAAGTTCGTGCGCATGAATAGGGCACGGCACAACATTGACCTGGCGCGCATCATCAACGCGAACCAGATGCCTCTCTTCGTTGAGATGCCGGCTGAGAGGATGATCGAGCGCCGTGGCGCGCGCTCGGTCCCAATCTGTACGGCAGGATATGAGAAGACGCGGCTGACGGTGATGCTCACGTGCACCGCATCTGGGGAGAAGATGCGCCCATTGGTGTGGTTCAAGCTGAAAATCGTGTTGAAGTGTGATATTCCGGATGGTAAGCTAATCGAATTCTGCTTTCCAAGAGTGTAGAGCTTGCCCTTCTTGTCTGACCGCCCTCTCTCCCCTCTGTGCCGGGCAGGAGTCGTATGCCAAGCACAGGACAATGGGTGGATGGACGAGAGCGCTGTGCAGACCTGGCTGACCAAGGAGGTGCTGCCCCATCTCAACCCCCTGCGCGGCCAGAACGCGAGGCGTGCGATGCTGGTGTTGGACTCCTACTGAGGCCACATCACCCAGGGCATGCTCCAAGCCTGCCGTACGCATAGCATCACCCCTGCACTAATCCCAACAGGTTGCACAAGCCAGATTCAACCCCTGGACATCTCCATCAACCGGTGCTTCAAGGCGGGGGTGCGCGCACGCTACGCCATGTAGTTTATGCATGAAGGGTTTCACATGAAGACAAAGCAGGGTGAGTAAAGTTTATACAAGTTCAGTCTTGTTACGCCTTCATGTCTCTAACGGCCTGTTGTCCCTGCCTCTGTCCCACTCTCAGGGAACCTATGGAGGCCTCCGCACCTCGTGGTGCTGCAGTGGATTTTGGAGGCGTGGGATCAAGTCCCCAAGCAGGTCATCATTGACGCGTTCCGCCATTGTGGGATTTCAAGCAAGTTGGACAGGACGGAGAACCACCTCGTGATGTCTCACCTGTGCGTGAGGAGCACCACCGATGTCTCTGAGGACATGTGCATCGAGGGGACCACGTGCGACAACACGCGCCTGCTTGGGCACGCTATTGAGGAGGAGGAGGAGGAGGAGGAGGAGGAGGAGGAGGAGGAGGAGGAGGAGGAGGAGGAGGAGGAGGAGGAGGAGGAGGAGGAAGAGGAGGAGGAGGAGGAGGAGGAGGAGGAGGAGGAGGAGGAGGAGGAGGAGGAGGAGATGATGCATGCAAAGGGCATCAGAGAGGTGGCCATGGCAACCGGCCTGGAGGTGCTGTACTAGGAGACCCTTAACTACCACGGAGCGGCGGCTGAGGCTGACCACATGATCGAGCCAAGGCAGACAGCTAGGCATGTCTGGCGAGTGCCATACCTGGGTGTTAGGGAGTCTGATGTTTGTGCAAATGAGGAAGCCATGACGGAGGGGGGCTAGGTATAAGTAGAATGAATGTATGCATGTACCCCCGATAAGGAACTAAGGATCGTTTAGAAGACACCCCCCTTTATAAGATAACCCCTAAACCCTTGTTTTGATTACAAGACAATGTCTTAAGTCGTACACACATATGGGTGTCTTATAATGAGGAACACCCATTTATACGAGACACCCGTTTAATAGACACCCCCTGTCTTCTATTCAACACTGTCGTATATCCGGGCGATGACGGTAGCAATGTACTCTAAGGTGTACATTCCCTTATTGCAGCGAAGTTCAAACCGTGCGGCGCGGGAACCCGTTTCAAACCTGTTCCCGCTCTTTTCACTTCAAATGTTTCTGCCTACATTGGTCTTGATCCGGCGGTTGCTAATGTCGCTTCGACTCTTTTGACTCCTCGACTTTGTACTCGGTAGAGTCGGCTTCTCCAGCATACAAGAATGCCTTCTCATTTAATTTCATATCGGAACAAAACATACTCAGCGGTTGATGCTTGACATGGACTCAGTGCACACCAGTGCAATACAGAAATACTATTACTTCATATTGGGATATATCGAGCATTATTCATTTCAATCTCCAAATCAGTAATGTGTGTTGCGGACTACTGTAACCTGACGCAAACTTTGTCAAATATGCACTTCCTAGTGATAGAAAATTGTAAAAACAACAATTCTATGACCACTACATTTTCATATGCTCCGCTTAAAATAGTTATCCCTTCCCTTCACCCCTGTGGGCATCTGCACTGTCACTGCCAGCACCCCAAGCGAGCAGCGCAATCTAGCAGCAGCTGGAATTCAGTTCTAAAGATTAGCATACTCCTTCAAAGCCACCGCTAACTCCTCCATTGCTATTTCAAACTCCCCCCTACGTGTTGTCAACTTCCCAGAAATAGCAGCCGAATTTTCTTTGGCAGATGCCAAATCCCCCAAGGCTGCTACCAATTCCTCTGATGCTCTTTCAAACTCCCCTCTGCCTGTTGCCAACTTCCCAGAAACTGCTGCCAAACTTTCCTTGGCAAATGCCAACTCCCCCAAGGATGCTGCCAACACTTCCAATGCTGTTTCACACTCCCCCCTGCTTGTTGCCAACTTCCCAGAAATTGCTGCCGAATTTTCCTTGGCAGATGCCAACTTCCCAAAAGATGCTGCCAAATTCCTCCAATGCTGTTTCAAACTCCCCCCTGCCTGTTGCTAACTTCACAGCACTGCTGCTGAATTTTCCTTGGCATATGCCAACTCCCCCAAGGCTGCTGCCAATTCCTCCAATGCTATTTTCTACTCCCTCCCGGTTGCTGCTAACTCCCCTAAAACTGCTGCCGAATTTCCCATGGCAACTGGCGACCCCTTAGCAGCTGGCGCCTTCTGGTTGGCAGCTGGCGCCTCCTCGTTGGCAACTTGCACTTCCTCCTTGGCAGCTTACAGATCCTTCTTGGCAGCTGGCAACTCCTCCTTGGCAGCTGGCAACCCCCCCAATGTTGCTGTCAACTTTTCCTTGGTTGCTGCTAGCTCCTCCGCTTGCGGTGTCATTACATTCTTCTGTTCAGCCAATTCCGCCTTGGTTGCTGCCAGCTCCCCCTTAGTCTCTTCTAGCTGCAAGCCAAGTGCCCTCATTCTCGTCTCCATGGTCTCTTTCCATCCATCGACTCCCACTTGTTGCCCCAAAGCGACTCTGGCAGCTTCGTACACACCAAGCAACTTGGAACTGCCAACATGAATGCACATGACAGCAGGTAGTTCCGAATCGACCAAGAGTTTGTCTGAGTATAGCACAAACATGACAAGCAGATGTTTGCATCTGGTCAAACCATGCATCACTAGTAAAGGAAAACCTATATAAATTGAATTGTACGATTTCAAAGAGTTGAAACGTGTATAGAGGCATGCACAAAGGCATTGCATTAGCATAATGAAGGAGGGGTAGAAGAAAGTTTTGAGACATAATTCGATTAGGAGAGGAGATTATGAGAAGGTAGCGATGAGTATAATAAAAAAGGGGGTTATTAGCAGACCATGGGAGGATGGTCACATGCAAGACAGCCAGTTTTGTTCAAGACTGCAGCGGCAGCGGCCGTTTTTGTCGTACAAGCGAGCTTTACGGGCTCCGTTTTCGCCTTGTTGCTTTTAGCATAAACAAAATTTGCGTTTGGTGTAGCGATTTCTTCAGTAACAGCAGGGGCCTGCTGCTGTAACAGGGTCAGCCGCTGCTGTTGTTGGGCTGCAATGAAGTTCGGCAACACTTGCGCGGCGGGTCACCACTTGCGAGTGAGGCCCCACAGGTGCGTCAGGGCCCACAGACGCGTCACGGCCCTGAGGCCTGCATTGCTTACGCGGCCGCGGAGTACCAACTGTGCTGGTTGGCACCGTCTTGGTGCTTTCCGTCATGGCTGGTGCGTCAGGGGCCACAGGGGCTCAAGGCACACCAGGGGCGTGTGCCTCGATGCCAGCGGCGTGTGCCTCCGTCCCACCCAATAGAACGTCAATGTCAGTCAGGGAAATTTCCCCGTCTTCTGCCTGGCGCCTGTTCGGGCGATCGCCCGCGATTTTGCGTGCGTTTCTTCCAGACTCGGGTCGAGCAGGGGCGGTAGCGGTATTAGCCTCTTTGCCATCAAGTGCGATAGGTGATGCGCTATACGCGAAAATGTGTGAGAGTAAGGTCAGCGGGGATTGAAAGCGAGGAAAAAATACAAGTGTGTAGTTGTGCCTTGCTCAGCTTGTAGGACGAGTAATGTGTCGACCAGAGTTTCAGAAGCACTACGTTAACGTTGTCAAATAGAAAGGCCCCACCCTCGCTTGGGCACAGCCAATCTCGCCGTCGACGGGAAATTCTCAACGGATTGGTCGAAGAAATGGGCTTTTGTAGTCCAACGAAAGTTATGGTCGAGCAGGCTCGGAGTCTGGGTCGACGAGCAGCGCTGGTCAAAGACAGCGGTCCAGGAGGCCCATCGAGGAGTGATGGTCGAAAAGCTTGTCGAGAGCTCTGGTTCACGAGCTCTGCGCGACGAACTCTGGTCAAAGAGTTATGGTCCAGGAGCTCTGCTCGGCGAACGCTGTTCGATCTAGCCGTGTCCAGCTGATCGACCAAATTCGCAGAGGTGTGCGAAACTCTGCGGAGGCATGCGAAACTTCGCCCAGGAGGTTTTGGCGAAGTTCGACCTGCGGAACGGCAACACGTGGTCGACGGTGAGCACCTGGCGAAACCAATTCGCAAGATTTCACCATGCTGTACTTCAAAACGGTTGCTCAACTTCTTGAGCATTTGGCTTGCGGAGATTCACTCTACAATTGTCGTGAGCTGGACTACGGGGGCTGGCACGAAATCTAGGAGTGATCGTAGCTTTACCTGGTTCTTTAGCAATTTCACATTCATGGGAGAATCTGGCAAGAGTTTGCACTAGCAAAGATTGAGATTACAGAATCATAGGAATCACAATAACAAGAATGACCACATCAGGCACCTAACAACTCTACAACTAGCCTGGTCGACCGCAAGCACAGCATTGGCGACCGCCTGCCAGCGCTGCGTAGAGGAGCCGCGCCATCATTGCAGAAACGCGGCCTTCCAACACAGCAGGTCGACGGCGTGCCAACGCTGCAACAGAGCGGTTGTCCAGCGTTGCACCCGTCGATGGCAGCAGTGCGCACGCTCATAGGTGCGCGCAGATGATTGGCTCGACTTGCACCGTTGTGCATCTGTCGGCTGTGGTCTGCGCCTGTCGAGCCACATCGATTTCGGGATACCAGCCCTAACTCGCCTTCGTCACCGCGACCTCGACGACGTTTGCGTGCCTCCGCAGAACTCGCCATGCAGGTTACCCGGTCGACCTGGTCGACCATCCAATGCTCTGGTCAACGCATCCCTCGTCGACCACAGCTCCAGTCGAGGAACACTCTGGTCTACGGACCCCTCCGTCGACCAGCACTGTCAGCACTATCTCATCCCTCATGCCCGTGTAATTGGTCTAATTCGTGTGTGCACTGACCACCCCGATTATTTTTTCGTTTCTCTTTTCTCTCATGACGTGCAACCCTGCCCTACCCGGGCTGTACGTGTCTGATTTTTCTAGTCTGCAGTTATTAAGACAGTTGAACGGAAAGAGCAGTCAGACATGCAGGGTTGCTTGAGGGGAGTGGGTGGATGATATGGTTGATAAGGGAGTGACGAGTGCAGTGGATGAGTTGAGAATGAAAGAGGCAGCGCTGGTGGCAGTGGTAGAGGAGGTGCATGACCTACGGCACACATTGACAGCAGTGCAGGGGGGGTTGGCAGTAGTTAAGGGGGAGTTGGTAGTGGTTAAGGAGAAGTTGGAAGCTGTTGAATGCGAGTTGGTCGTGGTTAAAGGGGAGTTGGCGGATCGCAAGGACGCTAGGGAAGAGAAGTTCGCTGAGGGTAGTAAGGAGTCGGGTGGAACAGGGCTGAGAGGGAAGAATAGAAAGAGAAAGCAAGAAATCACAGAGGATGTTGCATGGGAGGAGGAAAGGAGAAAGGAGGTGTAGGAGTTGAATTCACCCACGTAGCATGGAGGAATCGGCAGCTTGTAAAAAAGGGTGGAAGTCACAAAATCTGAAGTTGAATGTTGATGTGAAAATCGGGAGGAGTAAAGGTGATAGGAAGGCTACTTGGAGGTGAGTTTTAAGTGATTCGCTTCACTGGGCTTGCATTGCTTGCTTGTTCTCTCTTGCCACTGTCTTCATCCCTACCCTTGTCATGTTTCCTTTTTACTCTCCATCCATTTCCTCTAGGCAGTCAAGGCAGCATCACAGAATGCCAGTCTGGACCTGGGGCCTCTTAGACGCCATGCTCGCGCATGTGTCCACCATCACCCACCTGAGGAGCATTGAATTGTACTCTACCTTAGGCCTCGGTGTAGAGGGCATTAAGCACCTCTACAGGCTGCCACGGCTTGAGATTCTTAACTTCAACTACACAGACATCTCAGGCAGCACCTTAAGAGGTGTTGGGTCCTTGACCAATCTCAAACAGCTCCATCTCAC